CAGTATAAGAAGTGGACAGAGCCATCTCATTGGAACTCAGTTGAGACAGCTGAAGCCCATTTTTAGCGATTTTTGAGCACTTCCGTTCCTGACGCGCAGACTCAAACCGACTCAAACTAAGCTTGATGACGTGAGCAACCTGTCTGACAGACGTTAATCTTCTAGTAGCTGTGCGTGAAAATTGCCAACGTTAATCTTGCAGAGACGGGGAACTTGAGCAAAGAGTTCTTTAGCGTGAGTGAGCAGGAGTAAGTATTCCGTTGCTTTTATGGACTCATTATCTATGGGCTTCTCCCTTGATGGGACGTCCTCCCGATTGCCTGCGAGCTTCTCCTCCTGTCTGTATGGTAATTTATGTACAGCGCGACAGAGAGTCGAGTGGTTATGACGCAATCGTTAGCCTATTTTTACAATATCTGTTTCTACGGGGCTAAAATGTAACATAGAAGGTAATGGAGCTCTGCATACATTGTCGTGTTTCTTTAGAAATAAATAATGGACAAATGGAGTCTTTAAACGCCTCAGATGTAAAGTTATTCGCTGTCAAAGTGACGCCAAAATGAATGGGAGTCAATGGAAATGCTAACGCAAGTGAAGTTCTGCTACAAGATGGCAGCACCCGGCCGGCTTCAACTTCCGGTCGATGGATTACACCCTTGTTAAAAATAGAGCATTGCCATGGACATAGTCACACAGTTATGTTCACGCGGAAGCAATACAATCGTTTTTAAATCAAACTTCTATAAATTAATATTTTTTTGTGTAAAATTATTTATTTGTAAAGTAGCCACAAATTCGCAATTAACAAATAATAATAATAAATAAAAAACGTGTTTCGTTTTTTAAAGCATTTCTGCTGTGTTAGCAGAATTTTTTTTTTCTCAAACGGCAGTCCCCCCCCTGCCGTTTGGGACTGGGAATTTTTTTTATTATTATTTAAATGCAGGTGTGTTTGCTGACAGCATTGGTGGTGGTTGAGGAGATTCCCCCCTTCTATGTAAAGCGCTTTGAGTGCCTAGAAAAGCGCTATATAAATGTAATGAATTATTAATTATTGGACCAAATGACAAGGATATTAATATGATCAGAAGAGAAGGAGAGTCTGTGACACTGAGATGCACATATTGTCACGATACACACACACAGGAAACGTAAGATCCAAAAGCAGTATATTTAATGGGTAATCCGTACTCACAAACCAGTCCAGGCAAGGGTCAAAAGTCCAATAAGGCAATCCAAAACATGAAATACAGACAAGAACCAGACAGATACAAATACCGGAAGTGTGGGGACATAATACAAGGACTCCGTAACAAACACTGAAACTAACAGGGTATATACACAAGTGCTAAACGAGGTGACGAGAAACAGCTGAACACAATGAACACTCAGTGACAGACAGGATCATGGGAAATGTAGTAACAGAGTGTGGGACACCGTGCGGGAAGAGGACCTCTAGTGGTTACCCAGGAAACACAAACCAGACACTGTGACACATATGATGCAAGCAGCAGTTATGTCTATCTTTACTGGTTCAGACAGTATCCTAATACAGAACCAGAATATTTACTGTGGAAAGCTGCTCAATTGTGGAGCTATAAGGAGGACATATCAAATGATCGGTTTCAGTCGACAACATCCCAATCGTCCACATCACTCACAATTGATAAAGCTCTGTCAGATTTAGCTCTTTATTACTGTGCTATGAAGATTCAACTATACAGCCAAGTGCCCAAGAGGCTTTACAAAAACTCACACTCAAAAATATTGCTTTGAAAGTCAGTAATCAAATGTGAATCAAACCAATTTTGGAAAACCACAGAGACTGTAACAGAATGTGGCGACCCCTGCTGAACAAACAGGACTGAAGTGAATGTTATCCTGTTGTTATGATATGCAGTGCAAATATTTTAACACATGAAATACATTTACATCTAGATTTCTCAAATCTAGGTGTTGACAAGAGTTGCATGCATTCATAAATACTTGACCTCTCATATACATTCTCAACCAGGGGAGTGCAATATAAACTTTGTTTTTAAATGATCCCCTACCTTGCTATAACAGACTACTAAAATGTTATTCAGAGGAAATACTGACAAAAACAGTAACTCAAACAGAAGATAAAGTTAAATGATAGATAGATTAACAGTTCTGTGTAAATATATATATTATAAATAAACTAAATGAATAAAAAAAATCCCACTTACTGAAACTAAAAAGAAAGAAAAAAATATAAGGAAACTAAGAGAACAACATTCAACAGATCAAGCTCCTCCCAGACGATATATGTGTGACAGTATTAAAACAGGCTCATCAAAGACAAGCTGAAACAACTACACACTCTCCCTCCAGTGGATTGAAATATTTCAGTCATTTACACAGAACAGTTATTATAATGGCTCACTGGGAAAGATATTTGATCTTCTTTATAACGCATTTCTGGGGTGAGTAGGATCCTTCTGAGTCTCTAAATTTGCCATAAATATATTAAAACATGTAGAATATGATTTGATAATGCTTTAAATTATATTCCAGTATGTGACTCTTTGGAGAGTGTTGACCAGAATACAAGAGTTCAAACTGCTTTTGAAGGGATATCAGTAACGATTAACTGTACGTATGAAACCAGTGATCCATCCCCGTATCTCTTCTGGTACCAGCAAAAGATGAATGGAATCCCCAAATACATGATGATGATATTTGCTGCAAATGTACAAAATGACAAAGACTTTAAGGAGAGATTTACTCCAAATCACATCAAAACTTCAAAATCGGTTCCTCTGACAATCCAGGATGTGAGTGTGTCTGACTCTGCTGTGTATTTCTGTGCTCTGAGGCCCACTGTGACTCAAACACACTCAACACTCATACAAAAACTCTCATGGTCTTGAGTTACACTTTCTGATGGTTGATGATTTTTGTAACCTTGTAATAACTCTTGCAATGCAGAAGAGGGCGACAAACAGTTACTACAAATTATTTTGAAGTATTCTTGAACTCCTTGGCAAAAATCCCCTCTCTATTTTTATAAACAATGCTCTTTCTAGTGATGATGCTTCATTCACTGAAGATCATTTGGTCACTCATCACTATAACACCATATATACACCAAATACCTTTGCATTGGCTGATTTTCTAATTTGAAACAGTAAAATCTGAACTGATCTGTTGTGCACCAACATTAATCTGCCAGAAAAAGACCATTGAGTCAGATTTACAGAACAGGTATAACTTTAAGTGATGTTCCAGAAGATATGCACACGACGAGTAGTGCACAGTCGTGAGCACAACACATCTCATCCTCATTTGACATGTAATATTTGATTTAACAATAAGATACTCCTTCCCAGTTGGTGGAGCTCGACTTTGTTCAAAGCAACTAAAGTCACCTTTTACAGTATATAAGACTTTTCTTTGCTTTTTTTAAACCAGTATAAAAATTATAGCTAAGTAACTGTTACAGAATGTCTACTTGGATCAGATTTTCACTCATTCTTTTTTCATTTTATGTAATCAGTTCTATATTCCATCTCTATTTCATGACTTATTTGCTACTTAATCATTCACAAATACTTTGTAATTGATTTTAGACTGCCGAGCAGAGGATAGTGTTACTCAGCCAACAGAAGTTCAAACTGCTCCTGCAGGTCCAACAGTGACTATGGTCTGCACATACAAAACCAGTGCATTCCCAACACTTTTCTGGTACCAATATAAAGCAAATCATTTTCCATGCTGAAGAGATATGCTGAATCGAGCGATGAGGATAAAGATTTTAAGGAGAGATTTCATGCAAATATCAACACCTCTTCAACATCAGTTCCATTAACAATCCAGGATGTGTGTGTCTGACTCTGCTGTGCATGTGCACAGTGACTCACACACTCAACACTCATAAAAAAAAACAGAGCTTCAAAACTATCACTTTACTTATGTACAGTAGTACTACATAGATTGAACATAGTTCACATATACATAGAACACAGTTGGGATCACCCACAGTGACAGGAAAAATGCTGTTCTCAACAGAAGGGGGCAACATTATCTAACAAGTTCTGCTTAATTCACATCTTAGAAGCATTTCCCTGATGTTTTCTGAAGTGATCTGAATGTGGTGAATGTCAAATAATACTTAATAAAGTATCCTCAAGTGAAAGTCTATACATTTACTTCATTTGCATTAGATATATTGGTAACACTTTACAATAAGGTTAATTAATTAACTGCATTAGTTAACATTAATAAGAATGAACAATATTTCTTCAGCATTTGTTAATCTTTGTTAATGTTAATTTAAACATTTACTAATACTTTATTAAAATCTTGTTAACATTAGTTAATGCACTGTGAACTAACATGAACAAACAATGAACAGCTGGATTTGCATTAACTAACGTTAACAAAGATTAACAAACACAATCACAAATGTATTGCTCATGGTCAGTTCATGTTATAGTTCATACATTAACTAATGTTTAATAAATGAACCTTATTGTAAAGTGTTACTGATCTATTAAATCTGTTTTAAAATATGGTTAGGGTAAGCAGAAAAGTCCAATAGTCCAATGTACTCATTTATGTCTATAAGAAACAATGCTTACCATTTCATTTTAAAGCAGAGAACATGTTTCATATTTCACTAACTCCACCCACATTATTAGAATACAGCAGAACTTCCCTCAGTGCATCATTCATCCATTAGCTATACTTACATTCATTTTCATTCATTAAAGTGGTTTAAAGATGAATGTAAAGTCTAATTTTTTAAAAATTAGAAACTCACATGTATTAGCAAAATGGTTATATAATATTGACAATGAGCTGCAAAATGAAAAACAAAGCTAAAGCAAAGAATTAAAAGAAATAACCATACATACAGTATAAACGGCTATGCTCATTTGATCTTTTCTTAGGTGTCTTGTAATTCAGATTCAGTGTCATGACAGGAGGAGGAGTTTAGCACAGACACTATAGAGCTGTAAAGATGAGCTACACTGTGGAGCAGCTGCTGTTCTTGCCAGTTTAGTGAATGAACATGTTGATCTACATATTGATACTGCTGTCATCAACTGAAGGTAATATTGTGTAAATGCATTTTATTGCAGTGGAAGTGTTTGAAAACTAAACTTAATGCAACTTTAATTTGCAGGCTCCAGAGCCACAGAAGTCATCACTCCAAAAAGTGAGAGAGTATTTGCACTTGAGGGTGACAATGTGACTCTCTCTTGTAACTACAGCAGTTCTGCTCGTGGAGTTCACTGGTATCGCCAATACGCAGGCTCACCACCACAGTTCCTTATACTGGAAGATTCAGGCGTAACTACTGAAGCTGATCCCCCCGTTCCAAGAGTAACCGTCAATCACAGAAAAGGAGAGCGGCATGTGGATCTTATGATCTCCTCTGCTACAGTATCAGACTCTGCTCTGTATTACTGTGCTCTGCAGCCCACAGTCACAGGAAACACAGTAACACTGTACAAAAAACTGTTTTCATCTGCTTATCAAGCCTTAAAATGTACAAACCACAGCTGGACTCAACAACACAAATGTAAAAAAAAAAAGACATAAAACTTTAACTGATACTATAGTGGAATTGTCAAGTAATTGTTAAGCTGGCTTTACGGGTACACTGCAAAAGTTATTTTCATATTCTGTATTTTGTCCTGGTTTCACAGACAGGGCTTCGATTAAGCCAGGATTAGGCTTTAGAATTAGGACATTCAAGTTATAGCTTTTTTTAAACATGCCTTTGAAAAAAAAAAACATACTGGTGGCATCTTGAGACAAAACAATGGCACTGACATATTTTAAGATATATCAGCGCAAGCAGCTTTCAGTGAAACCAGGGGTTTGTCTTGTTTTCCAGTACAAATATCTAAACATTTTTATACCAAGATACATTTACTTGACTTAAAGGACAAGTTCGGTATTTTACACTTAAAGCCCTGTTTTAAGATCGTTTCTGATGAAATACCACGGTTAAGATTGAAATTTGGACACATGCTGCTGTCCCGAGAATTTTCGGTTTCTGTGGTTGCACCCCCACCCACCTCCACAATGGTTGCATATGCACTGGAACAATCCTTCATAAAACGCATTAAACTTTAGTTTACAAAGATGTTAAACTCACCAAGTGGTCAGGGGTGTTCACTGATATGCTCACACAAAAATCGCTGCAAAAGATGCTTTCCAACAGGTTTTATCGTAGTTTTTGTCCAACTCCATTGACTTGACTTGGACAAAAAAACACTTTTTTCAATGTACAGAATAAACTGAACAATTGGTTTCAGTCAGTAACATCAAACATAACTACTGAAATGTATCTATAAAACAACTGTAATATAGGCCTTGATGCAAAGTCGCAGATGTCTTTTTAAACTAACCATAAAAAGATGTGTAATCTTTGCTTAAATGTATAAAAAATGTAATATAAATAAATAAGTAGAGGGTAAATGATCATCATGAACAGTCACTATCATCAGAGAGAGATGATGATCAGCTTCATAACTTCAGAAGTTAAGGGGAGGTGCAAGCTGGAGACACCTTCTGCCATGATGAATTTACTTCAGTAACACTTTGTCCTGCAGATGAACTAAAACATCCTCCTGAAAATGATGATGTTTGTTTTGGCTTTGTTCTGTTGTCTGGCATGTAAGTATTTCAACGCTCAGGCCCAGGTACCTTTTCTGCTTATTTGTATGTCTTTGTTGTCAACATTTTGTAAAATGATGGTAATCTCATCTGCAGGTGTGAGTTTTGGGAATGTCATCACACCAGTTGAAACTCATATGTTTGGGACAGAAGGGGAGATTATAAGACTCTCCTGTAGTTACTCCTCAGCAAGAAGTTTATTTTGGTATCGCCAATATCTTGGATCGGCTCCTGAATTTCTTTTCATCATTCTTGAAACCAGTGGGGAAGTTTTACAAAAATCTAATGTTTTGGATCAAGATCCTCGATTCTTTGCGAAACTGAATAAAGAGAAAACCCATGTGGATCTGGAGATCTCTTCTGCTAAAGTGACAGACTCTGCGATGTACTACTGTGCCCTGGAGCCCACAGTGACAGGAAAACAAACTACACTGTACAAAAACCTCACTATATTTTGGAAAAGTATTAAATCATACAGGATATATCTACTGACATTTTATTTTTCAATATATAAAAAGAAAATCCAGCAAACCAAAAAAAAAAAAAAACTCATTAAAACTTATTTGCTTCATGTTATAATATAATAAAATGTATATAATTATTTAATCTTCATTTCAAACTTAATTGTAAGCATATCTATATCTATATAGCCTAATTATCAATATTCTTTTAAATGTGTAGCTATGTGTGAATAACATTACAAAAGTCTTGTCTGTCATTGTGTGAGATGAATGGTGTAAATCTGAGTAGGAGGAGTTTTGCACTCATTGTGAGATACAATAAAGAACTCAACATTTCACAAGTCTCTTTGGATCATCTGATGTTTCGTGTGTCTCCTGTTCACACCTGATTATTGAGCCATCATGTTCATCTATTTAATTATATTGATATCATCAGCTCAAGGTAGGAGCAAAGGCTGGATTATTCTTTAAAAAAACATAAGTATAGAACAAATTTAGTTTGTTCATAAATAAATAATGATTCTCTTATTTAAACCTGATTACTATCTCAGAAATGCTTTTTTAATAACCAAGCTAATAACAACATTGCATTATTAAGTATCTTGATTGCATTTGGATGGAGAAATTTGAAAGAGGATGTACATTTCACTTACATTTTTCTATTCTTTTTGTACGCATTAACTGCAGGTTCCAGAGCCACAGAAGTCATCACACCATACAATGCTTATGAATTTGCTGTTGAGGGTGACAGTGTAACACTCTCTTGTAGATACACTGCTTCTGTATCTGTTCGAGGTCTTCACTGGTATATCCAATATGCAGGTTCACCACCACAGTTCCTCATACTGGATTACCTTGGGTCAGTTACTAAAGCTGATTCAGTTGCTGGAATCTCAATCCATCACAGAAAAGACAACAGCAGTGTGGATCTGAAGATCTCCTCTGTGGCTGTAACTCACTCTGCGGTGTACTACTGTGCTCTGGAGCCCACAGTGAAAGGAAATATAGTGCATGCTGTACAAAAACTGCTTAAATGGGAGAAAGAAAGCGAGAGGTGGGGTCGAGGTTTTATGTAAAAAAAAAAAAATCACACAGATACCACAGATATCAGCCTATTCTTAAGAAGTTCTAGTTAAAATATTGTGGCTGAAAGACGAAGAAAAACTGTACATATCAGTTTTATGAAGACATAAAACATAAGGATTTGTGCATGAGTGTGAGCACAACACTAAAGTGTTTTGTATATAAAAACGCATGTCAATAAATGTAACTCAAACACAGACAGCACATTTTAACCCTCATGTGGTGTTCGGGTCAATTTGACCCGGAGAAGATTTTCTTTTTCCCGAAAATACTAGTTAATGTTGTCGCTTTGGACTGAAACTTAGTGACTTTGTTCCCAAACAGTATAACTAAATCTCAGTGTTTTTTTGAAAATTTTCTTATTTTTTTTGTGGGAGTATTGTTACCTTGTTACACTTGTGGTGTTCCCGGTCAAAAATGACCGGCCTATAAAAAATAGCTTATAAGTCACTCATTATACCATATTTTCACCCAATCTTGGATTCAATCTTTTTGTCAACTTGTTCTCTTTCAATTAGGACTGGTTTTATATTTCTGTTTGCATCTGATTAATCGTGGGCCTCATTTATCTGAGAGTAGGCATCTCATTTTTTGAGTAAAAAACAAATAATTTATGAGTAAATTGGGAAATATGAAAAAAAAAAAAAGAAAAAAATGGCTACGGTTGATCACACTAGTCTACTCTAATGTTTCACCAGGAATTTTGTTTTGAAACTTTTGTTTTGTAAAAAAATATGGCACATAGTCACACTTGTGGTGTTCCCGGTCAAAAATGACCGGCCTATAAAAAATAGCTTATAAATCATTCATTATACCATATTTTCACCCAATCTTGGATTCAATCTTTTTGTCAACTTGTTCTCTTTCAATTAGGACTGGTTTTATATTTCTGTTTGCATCTGATTAATCGTGGGCCTCATTTATCTGAGAGTGGGCATCTAATTTTTTGAGTAAAAAACAAATAATTTATGAGTAAATTTGGAAATATGAAAAAAAAATATGAAAAAAATGGCTACTGTTAATCACACTAGTCTACTCTAATGTTTCACCAGGAATTTTGTTTTAAAACTTTTGTTTTGTAAAAAATATGGCACATAGTCACACTTGTGGTGTTCCCGGTCAAAAATGACCGGCCTATAAAAAATAGCTTATAAATCACTCATAATACCATATTTTCACCCAATCTTGGATTCAATCTTTTTGTCAACTTGTTCTCTTTCAATTAGGACTGGTTTTATATTTCTGTTTGCATCTGATTAATCGTGGGCCTCATTTATCTGAGAGTAGGCATGGTCAAAAATGGTCACAATGGCCGACCATTGAAAGTGAATGGGAGAGACTGAAAATAACAGAACAATTTAGTTTTCAGGAGCATGTTCATTATTTTCATGTACACATATGAGCATGTGTGCTTGCAAACATTGAGCCCTTGGACCTGTGCATGTATAGATACATTTATACACACGCTACCCAGACACACACACGTTAAAACACACAAACTTTTTTGAGTATTACACACATTCTTTTCCACAGAGAGAAATTTGATCCTACCCTAACCTGCATCTAATATACATTTATCCATCTGACATTACCACACACACACACACACACACACACACACACACACACACACACACACACACACACACACACACACACACACACACACACACACACACACACACACACACAACTGGCCGTGACTGCAGTGACCCGGCTTCAAAAGAATCTTTCTTTCATGGTCTTGTTTCATCACAGCTTCCAGACAAAATATTATGACATTTTGTTTTGGAACTGTGAGGTTCTCACACAGAACTAGACAATATTTACAAATATACATCATGTGATAGCACAGGCATATATAAAATGCCTCACAGCACCTTGCTTGTCATTCATTTGTGGCAGCACAATGGCAAAACAGCTCTGCACATGATGTTATTCATCAGATTTTTGACTCAGAAACTAGTGAGGAGGAGGAGGACATGCAGGATGCATCTTGCAGTGAAGATGTTTCTGAAGAGGAAGGCCTTCAGAAGAAAACCTGCCTTGCCTCATAAGTGGGGATGAAGGCCAGGACAAAGTTCCATCTTTTGACCAGAATGAAACGGTAACCTCAGCTGGGCCCTCATCACTGGAAGACTGCTCCTCATCAGTTGTTTCAAGCTCCGTAGCCGATTCAGTGGTGCCTTCCTCTTCAGAAACATCTTCACTGCAAGATGCATCCTGAATTTCCTCCTCCTCACTAGTTTCTGAGTCAAAAATCTGATCACGGCCTGTGTGTGTGTGTGTGTGTGTGTGTGTGTGTGTGTGTGTGTGTGTGTGTGTGTGTGTGTGTGTGTGTGTGTGGTAATGTCAGATGGATAAATGTATATT